GCTAAGCCACCAGCACTCCTTGGCTTATGGCCTCATATTACCCCAACCTGTTTTCATCATCATACCTCCTTCTCTGTTATAAAGTCTCTTCTGGAAAATCCCCCCCTTTTTACAAGCCTTGATTTGATCCTCTCTGTGAAGTCCTGTTTCCCGTGTAAGGTAACACAGTCACAAGTTGTGGACGCTAGGACAGGGACACCTGTGTTGGGATGGTGTTTAGCACAGTAGAGGTGGAATATGCTTCGTTAACCCATTGTCATCAAGTTGATTCTGCCTCACAGAGACCGTGGAGAGCAGGGGAACTGCCCACAGGGTCTCCAAGGTTGTACATTTTACTAAAAGCAGCCTGCTACACTTCCTGTGGAGTGGCTCGTGGGTTTAAACCACCAACGCTCTTGTTAGCAGACAAGCACTTCCCCACTGCACCACGAGGACTCCTTCGTGCTTAATTACAGGCCCATAAATAGAATGAGGTTCCCAGTGACCCAAGGCCTCTCTTTACTTTCTCTTTCTCTTCTCAGCTGTTAGATTTGAATCAGAGACCATCTATTTGGAAAGTTGTGCACTCTAATTAAAATGTAACCTGTGAAAACAGAAATGAGGAGTTGCCTGGAAGTGACAGAAAAAAAGAGCAGATACACATCTCTCAGTAATTCCAAAAAATGATACTCAGAACAGCATTGGCTGTGTCAGTTTAAAGACTGTCTCAGAAACTCAGTCACTGTGGTCAAGAACTGTGCCACCGGTCCTGGGAGTGCCCGTGGTCTCTGTGACACTGTGTGTCCACCTCCTGCCTGAGTGCTTGAGCCTGGGTGTGCAGTTTTAACAAGCCAGCTGGCACCTCTGGCCCCATGCACCACTCACAGGGAGCTTCCTCTCGCCTGGGCCAAGAGCGTGAGGGTGAGCAGGTAGAGGACACGTCAGGTCCTGAGCCAGAGGTAGGTGATGGGACCAGGCCCAGGGGAGAGGCTGTACCTACTACCAGCAGAGAAGGATCCTAAAAGCCTTGGTGAGAGTGTCTCATACTCAATGTCTCCTCCATACCTGACACCTGGCAGAGGCCCTCCATGAAGGGAGTCCACAAGGAAAAATGTCTCTCTGCTGAAGGACACTTCACTTCACTTGAATCTACGTCAACACCTGTGGCAACAGCAGTCACATCAAAAGATACGTTGCATTGGGAAAATGTCCTATCAAGGGCCTCTCCAAAGGGCTAAAGAGCAACAATGTCAGTCTAAAGACTAAGGTGTGCCTGATCTAAGCCACGTATTTTCAGTTGCTTCTTTTGCATCTGAAAGTTGAATAAGGATGTCAGAAGAGTCAATGCCTTTGAACTGGGGTGTTGGAGAAGAGTACTGAATATCTCATGGACTGCCAAAAGAATTTAAAAGTTGGGGAGCTCTGGTGGCCTAGTGGCAAGGAACTGCAACTACAATCCCAGAGGGGCACAGTTCGAATCCACCAGATGCTCTGCCAGGGAAGGAGGGACAATCTCCTCCTGTACCAGTTAGATCTGATTTGACGGTACACGCACACAAAAATAAATAATAAAAAAGAAAAAGAATTTAAAAGTCTGGTTTATTTTGTTTTTAAGAACTAACAAGTCTATCTTGAAGGAAGTGCAACGAGGTGTTCCTTACAGGCAAGATTGGCGAGAGTCCGTCTCATATTTTGGGCATGTTGTCAAGAGGGGTCAATTCTTAGAAAAAGACAGACTAGGAAAGGTCAAAGAGAGGAAGGTCTTTAATGAGGTGGACAAAATGTCCCTATCTGTCAGGTCAGGCATGTGGGAGACCAGAAGGGTGGTTGCAGGTCGGCCACGGTTCAGGTCTGTTGCTCAGACAGGGTCCCCATGAACGGTGGTCGACTCAACAACAGCTAACAACACTGAGGGACAAGGAGCCCTGATTGCACGGTGGTTAAGCACGAAGTGATGAAGGTCAGTGGTTCAAACCCATCTGCGTCTACATGGAAAAAATGATGTGGCGGCCTCTCCCTGAAGGTGACAGCCTTGGAAACGTGCTGAGCGGTTCTTCTGTGTGTCTGAGGGTTCCTGTGAGTGAGAATCAGGAGTGGGTGTGGCTTTACTAAAGGCTCCTCAGTAGCAGCTGTCAGTCAGCTCTGTGGGGACCTCCCAGGAGGCAGGGCACTGTGCTCCTTATGGCTTTCAGAGGCCAGCTCTTCAGTGGTCGGTCCTGACACTTGCCTTCCAGAAAGCCTCTGGGTAGGTATGAATCGCCAAGCTTTGGGTTAGCAGCCAAGTTCACTAATCATTTGTACCACCTAGTGACTCCTAAGAGACTCGTCTTACCCTATTAACTACTGTTAAGTCCCAGCTTCCTCTCCCACCAGAACCCTGGGGTGGCTCTTTGCAGCTGGTTCTCAGTGCAGCACTGTGGGACCCAGCCAGCGACCTCCTTCCCCATTGAGTTGGTCAAGTCCCTGCTGCTAAGAACTCCCTCCAGCCAGACCTTGGCCTTGGTGATTGCCATGGCAACAGCCAGCTGCTGCTTAGCACCAGCCTGGGGACTGGGCACCAAGGGGAGGGGGAGCAGTGCACACTGGAGCTTCTTGCTTTCCTGGAGGCCCAGGGGCAGGAGAGGCCTTGTGGGGACTTCTGTGGGTCTCTGAAGGGTTGGTTCGTTACAGAGAAACCAAGAAGTTGGAATGTCTAAACTCCTCTTCCACACGGCATCACGGTTTATAAAACTGTAGGTTCCTTGACTGAGGGAGGGCTAGTGTTTTACACACACACACACGCACACACACGCACACACTCTCTCTCACACACTCTCTGAGACTCATGCATACGCTCCTTCACACTTTCTCTCTTGCACTTGACACCATCTTGACCTAGAGGGTTAGAGCTGAGAGCATGCTGTCTCCTTAGGTCTGCATTAGCTTTATCACCTGCTCTTTGATGTAGAAGAATTCCTGGTGCCATAATAACTATGTGTTGGGTTGGTACCTGAAAGGTTGGCAGTCCAATCTGCTGGCCACTCAGAGAACAATGTGGCAGTCCACTCGAGTGAAGGCTGCTTACAGCCTCCGAACCCCCATGGGACAGTTCTGCTCTGTCCTGCAGGGCTGCTGTGTGTGGGAACTGACTTGATGGCAGTTAGTTGTTTTTTTTATGCAGATAAACTTGAATTCAGAACTTCACAGTTTCTGTGTCCCTGCACAAGAAATGATAGCAAATATCTGCTTCTAGGCACTGTGCCACACATTGTTTGGTTTCATTTTTGCATAACTTTATGAGATACAGGGTTTTGAGGAGTTGTTTTAAATTTCTATCTCAGATATAAAAACTGAGGCTTGGCATTTTAGCCCAGCATGGGCCCAGGTGTGACTGACTCCCAAGACATGTTCTTCACCATAGTTCCGTATTAACTTTCTATTGCCTTACCTTCCTCATCTGTAAAATGAGTGGGTCACAATAAATTGTGGCTAACCTTGAGAAGAATGCCTGACTATACTCATGTAATACCTATCCTTGGACCAGGAAGCAGTCTTCAGAACACAGCAAGGAAACACTGCACGGTTCAAAATCAATAAAGGTGTGTGCCAAGGATATGTTCTTTCTCTGTAATTTTTTAATCTGTATGTAAAACAAATTATTCAGGAGGCTGGATTTTATGAGGAGGAATGTGGCATTAGGATTGGAGGAAGACTCATCAACAACCTGTGTTATGCCATGACACAGCCTTGCTTGCAGAAACTGAGGAGGATTTGAAGCATTTGCAGCAAAAGGTCATGGACTGCAGTCTCCAATGTAGACTGATGCTCAACATTAAGAAAGCAAAGATTCTCACCACTGGGTCAAGTGGCAGCGCTGTGATAGATGGAGAAGAGATTGAGATTGCAGACAATTTCAGTTTACTCAGTTCTACAATCCGTTGGCATCAGCAGTCAGGAAATCAAAAGATGAATTGCATTGGGAAAACCTGCTCTCAGGGACCAGAGTGCTAAAGAGCAGTGATGTCAGTCTGGAGACTAAGGTGCACCTGATCCAGGCCATGATCTTCACAATTAATTTGCTATGCATCAAAAAGCTGGACAGTAAATAACAATGACAGAAGAATTGATGCCTTTGAGTTGTGGTGCTGGAGAGGAATATTGAACCATGGACAGCCAAGAGAACAAGTAGGTCTGTCCTGAAGAGGGTGAAGCCAAGTTGCTCCTTGGAGGCAAAGATTTTGACGCTTCAGCTCACATACTTTGGGCATGTTGCCAAGAAGGACCAGTCCTTGGAGAAGGACATCGTGTTTGGAAGGGTGGAGAAGACGACACTGGATGAGATGGATTGACATAGTAACTGAGATAATGGGAGTAGGGTTCAGAACTGTTGTACATAGGGTCGCTATGAGTCCTGAGTGACTCAATAGCACATAACAGCAGTAGTGACCTTGTCTCTGTCTGTTTGCCAGCAATGAACAGCGACACCCTGATGGGGGTAAGCATGATGGAGACACACCACTCTGGGAGCCATTCAGAGAGTCAATCCAGCTCAACTTTATTGGGGGCTGCAGCTCATTTATGTACAAGCAAGTAAACAGGAAGACAGAATAGGGTGGGCTTGCAGACGTGGGACATGTGGTTTGGATAGAACCTCAGCCTCATGTGGACCACTCCCAGATCAACAGACGTGGCAGCCATCTTCCCAAGTGGCTAGCTTTCTCAAGCTGGTACGGCCAAACACAGGGGAGCTTTCTCTATCCCTTATTAAAGGCTGTTGGGAGGCTTGCACTTACCCGGAGCTTAGGCGATCTGTCCTGAACAGAAGCCCTCCCTTCCTCCCCAACATGACCTTACACGATGGTTTTATGTGAAAGCCAGTAAGCACTTTGTGGACAGGAAACACTGACAGGTAAGTGCCATGGGACAACTGGGAAGGAGAGAAAGTCTCACCTCTGGGCCTGGTCATCACCTCCCACTACCTTTCTTTAGGGCTACGAAGCCACTTTCCAGATCTCACAATCTGGCACTTTCTGTCCGCTCAGGTGATCTCCATGGTGATGGTGGCTGTGGGTGTTTATGCTCGGCTGATGAAGCATGCAGGTGAGCTGGGGGACCCCGCCATCCCACAGGACCCTTCTGTGTCCTGCCCCTTCCACCTCCCTTAGCACTGGTCCTTAAACTTGACTTCTTCCATAAGCGTTGGGGCTGAAGGCTGCAGACTTCATGGGGCTGAGCCACCTTGCCCATCCTACCAGGCTCTCCTGAGCCCCTGTGGAGCTTATAATATATGCCTTTGAGGTTTAGGGGGCTCAGGCTGCTGGGAGCATGCACAGTCAAGAGCTCTGGGCCCTCCCTGCTCTATTCTGGGGTAACTCAATCTCCATTCCTCTTGGCTTCACAAAGTCTCTGGGAAACGGAATTTTCAAGGCTGGGGAGCCTAGCACCGTTCTAATTTTATTCTGGAGTGAAAGCAGCCCCTCCTCTTAAGTCCAGGGAATAAAGAATCTTCACAAATTCCGCCATTTAAATGCCATACAAACCATTCTGGACCCATGTTTATTCTTGGGGAAGGGAATTGTAACTCCCCATGGCCTTTATTCAGTTGGACTGGAGTCCCCAACCAGGGGAAAGAGAACAGTCGGACCCCTGCCCCACCCCTGGGGCTCTGGTAGGCACCAGGCTCAAACCCAGGCCTGATCCTTTGTCCCCAGAAGCAGCCCTGGCCTGTTTGGCAGTGGACCCCGCCATTCTGCTGATCGTGGTGGGTATCCTCATGTTCCTGCTCACCTTCTGCGGGTGCATCGGGTCCCTCCGTGAGAACATCTGCCTCCTGCAGACGGTAAGTGCTCAGGGGCCTGTCAGGAAGGCGGGTGCCGGGGAGGGGCGCCCACAGCCTTTGCGTTCTTGTGTTGGCACCTCTCTAAGGACAGTGGGTACCCAGGGTCTGATGGAAAGACGAGTGCCGTGCCTACAAGCCTTTCCATTTCTTCTGCCTCACCCCAAACCAGTGCTGCCCACACCTCAGGGATCCAGGGACAGGGTGCCCCTGAGAAAAGAGCCGAGTCCCCAGCTCTCCTGCAGCCGTGGGGGTGCTCTCTGGAGCTGCTCCTCGTGGTAACGGGCTCTCTTTCCTCCTCCACAGTTCTCCCTCTGCCTCACTGTGGTCTTCCTGCTCCAGCTGGCCGCTGGGGTCCTGGGCTTCGTCTTCTCTGACAAGGTATCAGTTGGGAGCCGAGAGGCCTCCGCAGGTGTGAGCCAGGTGGAGGAGTGGAAGGTTCAGCTCACACTTGACCCACTTAATTAACCCCAGCACACCTTCCCTCAAGAGGCAGCCAGCTGTGAAAGGTGCTCCTTAAGGACATATGAATGAACGGATTTTAGTATCACCAGGTTCGACTTCCTCCAGACTTTCTTTCCGAGAAGAAAGGTCTGTCCCATGGTTTTTGGGACTTTACTTTCTTATAGATATGTCTTTATACCTTAAAAAAAAATAAAAAACACAAAACACCAGGTTGAAAGACAATCTCAAGATCCTAAGGGGTTTTGCTCTGGCCATCTGAGAGGACTGTGGGGAAGTTTAAATAATCCACAAACTTTAATATCAAATGACTAAGAAATATATAATTACTAAGTGGGCCACAGACTGCCTGAATCTTATTTGCTGGTTTGTTAGTTGGGGGAAAACATTTGTTTATTAGAGCCAAAGAGGTGAGGAGAGAAGGACATGTGACTTTGTTTTTCTATTTTTATTTTTTTTTTACATGAGTGGAAAGTTTACACAGGTTTTCTATTCGATTATGTGTACATATTTTGTTTTATAGCATTTTAATTGCCATTTCATGCAGTTTATACACATTTGACCTTACGACACGAATTACCGTTGATTAAATAAGTGTGACTTTGAGCTGTGTTTCCTGTGTCTAGTCTGCTATGTGTTGACCGCTCCTTGGAACTTAAGATCCAGTATTACTTTCCCAAAGGGCAAAGTTAGCCGGAGGCGGAATGGAGGACTGTGAAGATGGAACTTTGAAAAACCAGTGGAACAGGAAGTAAGGGAGCCTGACAGACAACTAGGAAAAGGACAGCTTCGGCGTTAATTGAGAATTACCTAGTTCTCCAAGTTTAGTGAAGTCTGAAAATGATTGAGAAGAGCCCCTTTGTAGCTAAGGAGGTGCAATTCCCCTTATGCCCACTGGAGGTCAGCGCCTCTATTCAGAGAGCCTTTTCCTACTAAAGCTGTTTTCTCTGCTTTTGCTTCAAGCAAGTTATTTTGCGGTCCTACTGGCAAGAAGTAAATTAGGTAATGTTGTTGTGTGCCACTGGGTGGATTCTGATTCATAGCAAACCCATATGACGGGACGATGTTGTTGTGGTGGTGAGTTGTTGAGTCAGAACTGATTCCTAACTGACCCACCAGCTGGTTTGCTGAGGCAGTAAATCACACAGGAGGAGCTTGTCCAGCCTTCTCCTTGGAGCAGGTGGAGGATTCAAGCCGTGTGCCTTTGGGACTGCAGCGCAGCTTCTTACCACTAGGCCCCCAGGGCTCCCTACATGATGGGATAGGATGGCTTTAGAGTTTCCTGGGCGGTGATCTGTAGGGAAGAAGTTTGCCAGATGTTTTTTTCTCCAGGAAGCCCTTGATGGGATCAAACCAATAACTTTTTGGTTAGCAGTCAAACACTTCACCACTGTGCCACGAGGGTGTTTTGGTAGAATTGTTGTTTGGTGCCATCCATCTCAGCACAGTGACCCTGCGAACAGCAGAATGAAACTCCCCCTTGTTCTCTGCTGCCCTGCACGTGGTGCTGTCGTTAAACCAATACTGCTGCCAGCATGTCCGTCTCTTACTGGAAGTTTGTCTTTCTCACTGACTCTGTATGTCTTGGAGAAAGTGCAGCCAGAGTGTTCCTCAAAGGCATGAGTGGCCAAGCTTTGTCTCACATACTTTGGACATGTGGTTAGGGGGGGCTGTTCCTCGGAAAAGGACACCATGCTGGAAAAAGTCGGGGGGCTCAGTGAAAAAGAGGAGGGCCGTCAATGAGATGGATTGGCACAGTGACTGCGGCAATCAAGTGTGTCAGAGACGATGACAGTGGTGCGGGATAGGACAGGTCCGGATCTGTTGTTCATAGGGTCGCTATAATTTGGCAACTTAATGGCACCCAACAGCAGTCGCATCCTTTCCCAAACGTGATGTCCTACTCCAGTGACTGGTCCTTTTAACTTGCTCAAAGTACTTCAGCTGAAGTTTCGCCATCTTTGCTTCTGAGGGACATTCTGGCTGTTTTCCTTCCAAAACAGATTTGTTTGTTCATCCGACAGTCCCTGGTGGATTCACTGTTCTTCGACAGCACCATAATTCAAAGGCATCCATTCTTTCCTAGTCTTCCTTAGTCATCATCTGGCTTTCACATGCATTTGAGACAGTTGAAAAGAGCATAGCCTGAGTCAAGTGCGCCTTCGTCATCAAAGGGACATTTTTGCTTTTTAACAATTTGAAGAGGTCTTTTAGAGCATATTTGTTCAATGCAACATAGCATGAAATAGAAGTAAATAAATGTTGCATTGTCTTGACAGTGGCTTCCACCCGCGACTGCAAACACAGCAGAGGATCTTCTCCCAGGACAGTGGCTACAACAGGGCCTTCTAGCACTAGGACAAGGTTCCGATTTCAAAGCTGGCCTCATAGAGATCTGAGATCACTGTTACTTCTGCAGGAGCAGCGATCCAGGGCTTAGTCCTGTGTCCTGACTCTCCCCCATGTCCGGCAGGCCCGAGGGAAGGTGAGCGAGATCATCAACAATGCCATTGTGCACTACCGCGATGACTTGGACCTGCAGAACCTCATTGATTTTGGCCAGAAAAAGGTATGAGCCAAGGGTGGTAGGGTCCCGAGTCCACCTACCACAGGTGGTCTAGGAGGCTATGGGTGGCTGGTGACGTCAAAAGGGACACCTCACTCTCCCTCCAGAGCTGTAAGATTCCTCATCACCTGCCAGGTAATGGATTCTGGGAGGAGGGAAGAGGATAGAAGAGAAATATAATGGGAAGAACACCGACACTGTATGTGGTAATCTCCCACTTGTGTTTAAAAAGAAAATGAAGAAAGAACATACATTTCTTATTTGCAAAAGAAACCTGAAAGGATACATAAGAAATCACAGATGGTAGTTCCTTATAGGGCATGAACTGGACAGATTTTAAAATAGTATCTACTCTTTTTTATTATTAATAATTTTGAAAGTTTACAGAGGCTTGGGATTTCCATTCATTAATTGTTGCACTTTTCTCCCTGCCCACTCCCTCCTCCCCCATTCACTCTTCTCCTTGAAAAGTAAAACTCTTTCATTGTTATGCAATCCCTCCTCCCTAATGTTTTGATTGTATTTTTGTTTTAAAATATTTTTAAAATATATTTCATTTGAGTGAAAGTTTACAAAGTTAGTTTTCCATTCAAGACTTTATACACGTTTTGTGTCATGAGCAAAAACTCATTGCTGTCGAGTCTGGACTGACTCGGAGCTGACTCTCCAGCAGTTTTTCAGAGACTTTAAATCCACAAGAGATCCCCCAGTTTTCTCCCATGAAGCTGCAAGTGGATTTGAACCAGCAGAGAGGTGCCTCATTGGTTTAGCAGCACATCTCCTTGAGCACTGGGCCACCCGAGCTGCCGGTTGCTCCATGATATTGGCTGTAATCCCCTCCATGTAGTTGCACTTTCCCCACTTCCTCCCTAGGCTTCCCATTTCCATTCACCCTTCTGTCCTGACCCTTTCTGCCTCTGAGCTTCATTTTTCAGCGAATGCTTCCCTTTTGGTCTTGTGTGGTTGATTATTTCGAGGAAGACATTCCTGATGTTATTATTCGCTTTGTAGGTGTATTGTTTAGGGAGAGGTTGATCCCTAGAAGTTGGGTTTAATTCCAGGCTTCAGGCGTGTCTGAGGACCACGGTTCCACCAACCTCTGTCATATCACCAAGTCTGTTCTTTTTTTATTTTTAATTTTGTTCTACAGACTCATCATCATGTTTGTTTGTTAGATTTGGTTTTGTTTCTCCCCCGCTTCACTCAGACTTTCTCTTATTATCCTGGTTAGAGCTATTGGTAGCCTTGCACTTCCTGCTTCTGCTCTCTGGTTTGCTGGTCCGTTCAGTCCTTTGGACAATTGTTTCTTTGAGTCTTTGGTTTTCTTTGCTGCATTGATCTGGACAAGGAGAAACAAATAGCCTTATGTTAGATAGCCACTTGCAAACTTTTAAGACCCTGGTTGCTCCTCGTCAAAGCGGTCTGTCTTTGGAGGATTCTCAAGGCAGTCAGCCTAGATGCCCCCCAAGATAAAAAGTTCCATTTTAAATTAGTTTTTGAAACCAGAGCTGAGTCCTTCTTTCCCTTCTGTTTGTTCTCTTTGGAGGAATTCAGCCCCCAAACACGGAAGACTCCCCTCTTGTGCCCTCTGTCCTAAGAAAAAGGCATTCAGGACTATTTCAGCTGATGGATGTGGGCACCCACTTTTCCCAGGCTCCCCCCTTTTCCCAGGCTCTGCTGTGCAGAACCGAAGACCCAGAAACCTCCCAGTTGACTTCACAGTCAAATGTGTTAAACAGAATAGCCCTACAGCAGTAAGTCAGGCACTGCAGTAAGTTTATCACGACGTAGAAAGTAATGGACGTTTTCCAACAGTGTCCTCAGATGAAGGCTGCTGAGACGCTTGAGCTCACGAGTCAAGCCTGAGTTTAAACATAACCTGGAGTTACAGGCAGAGGCAGACCAGAGGCTTGAAGCTGCCCTGGTCACCTCAGCACGTGGTGCGGGAGCCCTGTAACCTCTGTGGGGGTCTGTGTTGCAGTTCAGCTGCTGTGGAGGGATCTCCTACAAGGACTGGTCCCTGAACATGTACTTCAACTGCTCGGAGGACAACCCCAGCCGCGAGCGCTGCTCCGTGCCTTACTCCTGCTGCTTGCCCACTCCCAACCAGGTGAGCACTGAGTCCTGTTGGCCTCCTGTCCCGCCTCCAGAGAGAGATCCGAGCCCGGTTCCTGTTAGGGCAGCTACTGGCAGGCTCCCCGTCCATCCGTAACCAATCAAGTGTGGTGGGCCGCTGCCAAGGGTTTTTCTTAACCTTGGCCTGGTGGCTCTGGTTTTACCCCTGCCACCCACCTGAGAGATCAGAAGGGACAGCTCTGAGGCAAGATCTGGACTCTGACCTCAGAGAAAGGGAAGTCCGGGACTTCTTAGTGCCCAACAGTGTCCTTCATGTTGTTGTTAAGTGGCATCGAGTCGTTGGCGACCCTGTGAACAAAAGACCTGGACACCTGTATAACTTCCGTCCTTTCTCCAGGTTCGTAGGGTTTCCAGAGGCAAGCTATTACGGAAGTGGATGCCACTCCTGCTTCCAGGCCAGGCTTGTTTTATTCAGGAAGCGCCACCCAACACTGTCCACCATGAGTAACCATTATCACATTTGACACATCAGTGTCACAGTATTCAGCATCACGGCAACCACGAGTTACCTCTGTACAGCAAGTGGACACGACGTACCAGGGTTATACGACCTAGAAGAATGTTTCACCCAAAACAATTACAGGCAGGCCTGAGGGCCACGGTTTAGTCACCCAATGGTGGAGGGGTTGGGGCTGAGAAGACCCTCAGCAAGGGCCCGGGACAAACTGTTACGGGGATGGGAATCTCATCTGGCTTGCTTGCACTCCCCAGGCAGTGATCAACACCATGTGTGGCCAAGGTATGCAGGCCCTTGACTACCTGGAAGCTAGTAAAGTCATCTACACCAATGGCTGTATTGACAAGCTGGTCAACTGGATACATAGCAACCTCTTCTTGCTTGGCGGTGTGGCACTGGGCCTGGCCATCCCCCAGGTACCTTGGCCTAGAAGGCCCTGGGCCCCCACAACCTCCAAAAAGACTGCTTTCTTTGGGGGAAGGCACCTGGGGAGCAGTTGGGTGGCGGAGCATTGGCACTGCTAAGGGGCAGAGGGAGTGGAGGGGGTGGCTGTTGGGAATGGTGGGGTGCTAAATCAGACCCCGTTCCTCCTGGCCTCTCCCAGCTGGTGGGAATTCTGCTGTCCCAGATCCTGGTGAACCAGATCAAAGACCAGATCAAGCTTCAGCTCTACAACCAGCAGCACCGGGCTGACCCGTGGTACTAAGCCACCTCGCCAGGGTGATGGGCGAGTCTCAGCCACCCACAACAGTGGGTCCAACTCAGCACCACGTGGAGATGTGGATCCCAGCCCCCAGCGATGGTCCTGTGGGAAGCAGCCAGCTCCAGGAAGGCAGAAGGCAGTGTTCACCCCACTCTCTGCAGGGCACCCTGGCCCCCAGCCCAGCCCAGCCCAGCCCAGCCCAGGCCGCCACTGCTAGGCAGCTCTCTGTCTTGCTTCTCATCTTGAGCATTGGGGTTTGTTTTTTTCAGGGTTTGTTTAGACAGATATTTGGGGGTGCTGGCTGCTTCTTTATCAGGGAGGCCCTGCAGCCACAGGCTCTGTGGGGACTTGACTGCTGTCCTGAGTCCTGCCTGCGCAGAGCAGACCCCAGCAGCCCCTGCCTGGAGCCCAGTTGGCCTGAAAGGAAGGAGGTGGAGCGAGCAGTGAGCTTGGGGGTCGCCTGGGGACAGCTGTATGTGTTGGTTCGAGTGGAAGGGGATATGTTTACCAACTGCTCGCCCTGCCATTCCCCAGGTAGCGTGAGCTACGCCCTCGTTGCCATGGAAACATGGCAGCACAGGCGAGGGTGCAGCAGTGGCCAAATTCAGCTCACTAGCCCCTTTTGAGAAAGGTTTGGAACCAGGGTCCCTCATCTCTGCAGCCAGCAGAGCGGGACTGAGCCATATGTGCCCTTGAACCCCTCCCCTGTCTGCAGTTGCTCCCCCCACCCATTGGGCTGACATTGGCCTTGGCATTGTGCAGGGGAGGGAGACATCCCACCCATTCAACATTCCCACAATCCCCTGCAGCTACAGCAGTATTTCTACACTGGAAGCAGCAGGAACTTGCCGGGGCTGGGGGAGCCAGAAACAGCAATAAAAGTTTGTTGACCTGGGCTAAGATGGACTCCATGAATTTTCCATTCTGGCACCTGGGAGGGACAGAGAGAAGGGAGTCGGTGGGCCCTCCCCGTGTTTCAGGCCACAACACTCAAGCCTTCCTCCCCTGCTCTCCCTCAGAACTAGGGGCCCCTTCCACCCACAATGCAGCCTTTTCTCCATCTAAATCAAGTCAAATATTATCCCCCAAACTGATGTTAGTTTTATTATTTTTTTTTTTTAATCTCAAGTTAGTTGAAACTGAACTCAAAATGTTTAAGATTGGGAGTAGAGAAGTTGTTGGCAGCCATATAGTTGACGCAGTATGACAGCGTGGAACTGTCCCGTATGGATCTGCAGTGTGTGTGTGTGTGTGTGTTGGTGTGTTTGAAGGGGGGAAGCTGGAAGCTGGAGCTGGATTCTTACGTGGGATAACTCAGCTTCCCAGGCTGGGCCTTCTGGCCCCTATGGAGCCCCCGCAGCCCAGCTGGTGGGAGGGAGGGGCTGAGCCCTCCTGGCCCTTGCATGGGGGACAGGGCGGGCCCTGAGCGCCTTGGGTGGTCCCTGGGGTGCTGTCCCTGAAGTGTCTTGGAAGCCCACTGCTGTCCTGCAGTTTTGTTCTGGCCTGGGGTTTTGTTCTGTCCCTGGAAACCAAGAGCGAGCCACTCCCCCACCTCCGTGCTGGGGAGACAAAATCAAGAGCTGAGTCCTGTCCCCCACCCCCTCACCCCTTTCTTCTCACCCTCCCCCGCCCCTGCTCCTGGGAGGGCACCCTTCCAGCCGCTGCCTGGGGTCCCTGCCAAGGTTTGGCGCCCAGCTAGTAACAGAACGGAAAGAAAAATTAAATCATCACAAATAGTTTTTAAAGCATACTTTGTGTTTTAAAAACAGTTGTTTGTTCTGGGAGAGAGGCGTGGAGAAGTGCACTCTCTCGGGCTTTGCTTGCTTGGTGCAGAGGCAGGGATTTATCCTCTAGCTTCTTTTAATGACTTGGCCCCCAGAACAGTCTCAGGTTAGGGGCGATGCTTGGCCTTCCCGAGTCACCAGCCACTCCTCACATGGGGCCCAAGGGTCTGCAGAAGCAGGATTCAAACCTGGGAACCACAACTTTACGGTGACCTGTCGTCCCTGGCTAACTTGGGTACATAAACACAAGGCCAAGTTGTTTTCTGTCCTGACCCCAAACCTTAAAATGCACTGAGTATTGGCCTTGAAGGGCGCTCTTGTGGCTCAGTGGTAAGGAATTGTGCTGTCATCCCAGAGGAACATAGTTCAGATCTACCAGTCTCCTCCTGTGAGATTGATTGCCTTTGAAAACCCACTGGAAGGTCAGATATATGCTGGTCCAAACTAGATGGTACACAGCAACATCAGTCCTGAGACTGACATCTTTGCAGGAAGCTTCCACTCATAGGATGCTGTCGAACAGGGCAGAGCTGCTCAGCAGGTGAGGCCGACTGCCATGTGTTTCAGGAGCCAGGAGCAGCTGAGGAGTAGGAACCTCAGACTGTAGCATTAGCAGGTGAGTGCTTAACTGCTGCACCACCAGCATTCCTTCTGAAGGGTGCAGTGAAAGTCCCATGTTCTTAGATTTCACCTTCTTCCTTTCAAGTTTCAAAGAGACTTGGACTGATGCTGGATAAGAACACCATCAATCGTTAAAGGTCCTCACTGTTATTTCATGTTTGAACTTAATTCACTCCCTGAATTTCTGTCTATTTCTAAAAGCTCTGGTTCCACACATAAGGGGCTCACACTAGTACTTTAGAACATCTAACCAAATCTTGGGAGCTCCTGGGTGGCACAGACAGTTAAGCACCCAAGTGCCGAAAGGTTGGAGGTTCAGAGACACCTTTAAAGTCTCAGATATCATTGCTTATTTTGTCAGAACTGTCCCATAGCTGACCCTTCATCAGGTTTTTGGCAGCTATAAATTGCACGGGTAGAGATTGCCTGTCTTTCCCCTCTGGGGCTGCTGGTGAATTGGAACTGCCAGAGAAGTGCCGCCTTTGAGTTCACAGCCAGCTCCCGATGAACAAGGCCTCCAGAACTCCCTGCCTCGAAAGACAGCGAGCTCACTGCCACTGCAAGAGAACCATTGTTCTTTCCACGGTGTGTAGTTCCACTCTGCACATGGCCTTGAACTTACACCATGAGTTAGAATCAGCTAGCTGGCAGCTAAAGGTGAGTGAATGAAGGGAGATTCTTGGGGGTGGCAGAAGTCAAACTGGGTGGACGAAGGCCTAGGGAAGAGCCCATATGACGGGGAGAACCTGGCTGGTGGGCGCAGGGGAGGGCATGGCACGAAAGATGGCACTGGGTCCTGTTGACTCCACATTGTGAGTCTGGGGGAACAGATCTTGCAGCGTTCAATGAACTTCTGATTCTTCTGTTTCCTGTGACTGCTGTAACAAATTCGCACAGAACTGCTGTGGTTGTTATGTGCCATAAAGTCACCTGCAATTCATAGTGACCCTATGGACAACATCTCTGAACCCTGCTCTATCCCGAGCCAACCTTATTGTCTCTGACATACCTACTCCCATTACCCCAGTCACTGAGTTAATCCATCTCATTGAAGGTCTTCCTCTCTTGCACTGCTTGCCTGCTCATCCTCCCGGCAATGATGTCCCTCTCCAAGGACTGGACCCTCTCTGCAAGATGTCAATAGTATGTCAGATGGAGCTTCAGAATCCTTTCCTCTAAGGAACAGTCTAGTTTCACCCTCTCCAGGACGAAGCTGTTGCTTCTTCTGACAGCCCATGTATATGAGTACATATATTCAGTACTCTTCTCCAGCACCACAGCTCAAAGGCATCACTTCTCCTATCATCCCTAGTCATTGTCCAGCTTTCTGAAGGCTGCAGTCATTGACCTTCTGCAGCAAGCACTTCAGATCCACCTCAGTTTCAGCAAGCAAGGTTGTGTCATCAGCATAATACAGGTTGTTGATGAGTCTTCCTCCAAACCTGATGCCACATTCCTCCTCTAAAAATACAAATGGAATCTTAGAGTTCTGGAAGTCATATAAACATGAGTCTTACTGGGCTGATTTTTTTTTCCTGCACCATCTGAAGGAGAGCCCCTTTGCTCGGCTGTTTCCCCTTCTTGTAACCACAGCATTCTCTGGTGGATGGCGCCCTTCTTCCCTCTTCTGAGCGTGTCTCCTCAACTTTTGCTTCCATCCTCACATCTCCTTTTTGTCTGTTTTGTTCCTGCTCCTTCTTGCTCCTTTGCAATTGGACAATTAATTGACAATTATTGGCAGTTATATTGGGCTAAATTTAGTTACATCTGCAGAGTCCCTTTTATCATCCTAGGTAACATGTTCACAGATTCCAGGGATTAGAACATGAGTGTCTTTGGGCAAAGACATTATTGAGCCCCTGGGCTGCCTTTCTAAGAGACTCTCTGTAACTTGGAAATGGAGGAAGAAGTGGAGATAAGCTAATGTTGGATATTGATATGAGTATAAGATAGGTAAACTCTAGCCTACATTCTAAAAATCACCTAAAGCTAGGGAGCCCTGGGGGCCTAGAGGTAAGAAGCTGCACTACAACCACTAAAAATTCTCTCAAACTTATGTAAGAAATGCCAGATATGCGTTCATTATATAATTTAATATGCACATACTCTACTGTTCTGCTCTCCCTAATCCTTAAGGCCAGGTAGAGTCACAGGGTTAGGGACCAGTTTAAAAGGGAACAGCACAGCTTCTTCCCACAGAAATTTCTCCTTCTCCGTTGCTCTGAAGTCAGGAGCATTTGGATCCCTCCTTCGGAAGGTAAGTCTGGAGTAAGTCACTATTCCACATTGCCATGAAGAGTGGAGCGAAGAAAAAGCAGGAGAACCAGGTCTAGAGGTCATGGTCGGAAGTTAAGCCTGCAGAGACTGCCGTGCCAGGAACTGAGGACATCAATCAGTTGGTGGAGCATCGCTCATACTTTCAAACACTCGGAGGACTCACCGTCAAATCAATGAGTAAGAACACAGTCATGGGGTGGGGAGGGGGTAATCAGTATAAAAACTGCGAGCACTGTGACTACAATGTGGGGAACAAGTAACTTAGATTCATACCTCACCCCCTACATAATAAATGATGAATTCCAGGGGATGAAGAAGTTT